ATATATATATATATATATATATATATATATGTGTGTGTGTGTGTGTGTGTGTGTGTGTGTGTGTGTGCATAATACATAACGTTTTCAGAGTAAAATAAAGATATAAATATACTGTCATTTATTACTGTGCACAACCTTGTCTGTTCGCTGTCATCAAAAATTAGGACACGTATGCATAAAGAAAATGGTTTAAAAAATAATGAAAAGTCTCAAATTCACTGACGGAGCCACATATATCATTATCTAGATCCTGACAAAATTATTTTGATGTGGATTAAAATGGTCAAAAATAGAGCAGCTATACTGCGCCTCAGTTTAAGAACAGACAGTCCTCTTTTTCGTTTTTAAATAGCATATTTTTGGTGTAACATTTGGCTGGTCGAAAGTTCTGCTCTTGGTCTGCGTCCTAGTTTTCTAAAGAAGAGATTGGACTTCATTTATAACCATAGCAACCCTCTGAGGTTGGTGCAATGCCACAGTACTTCTGTGTGCATACTTTATCCCAAGATGTTTGTTGTCTTGGATTTTATTATTTTACCCAATCTGGCCTAAAAAACATACAATTTATAGTTGTAGGCAGAGGTGATCAATATTACTATGTTTTCCATCTTCTCACGCTCTGTATTGATGTATGATATTTGTGTAAGAGACACATTCTTGCATTTAGGCTTTACATACTAGACCAAGTCACTATTTATGGTGATAGAAAAATAACAGAGATGGAAGGATCAGTCATCAATTATAGATTAACATACCACATACATGAGAAACACATCATGTAGGTCTGCACGGTCCTCCGTTGGCATCTAGGACAAGCCAGAACAGCAGTGAAACGTTTCTTCTTAACCCATTACGAGCCTGAAAACACACACAATGAAGATATGATAAATAATTCTGAGTTTTTGAAGCAACATACTTTGAAAAATGCAATACTGTCATTATTAACTTTATCTGACACACACACACACACACACATATAGGCTGGCCCAGCTGTATTGATGTGCAGACATATGGGAGTGGGGGGGCTGAACACGACCGAGGCCAGTGAGAACCTTGTCCCTTGGTCAGCCTTTTGTGTGGCTCCCAGCAAGTGAGAGACATCCGAATATTACAACACCTCAGACAGCGAGGTAGCACGCGCCACTGCCATCGAGGCATGTGATACATTATTTAAAGTAGATGGCATAACTAGATCAATTGTGACCTAATTTACAAATCCCCTCTTCATATCAGACTGTGACATTCACATGCAGAGGGATTTTTTCCCACGGATAATGAAATATTAACAGGGTTTCGATTGCAGGTTCTCTAACACGAGGAAATTAAATCAAATCACAAAGAGCAGAGTATGACAAAATCACAACACAAAGTGAGGCCAAATGCGTATTTACAAGAAAACCTGCATATTAATATGCCAACATTAACCATTCAAGGTGTTCACATATTTTGTGGTGTATGTTTATAAGGCGCACTACTGTCACTTCGTCTCATTAACACCCTGCGTTGCCAGCGCGTACAAAATGCGTACATGTGAATACTTTGAAACTTCACACTTCAGGAGAGAGGCTTGTTTCCTTGGTAACCGTTTTTTCCCCTTTTGTCCTTATGTGCCAACTAGTGCATAATGCTGCTCAGCACATACACCTGCATAGAGAGCGCTACCCTTTTTTCCCACAAGCGAGCAGCACACTTTTTTTTTCTTCAAAGCACTGCTCTTGTCTGGAGCTTTGACATGCACTAGAACACGCATCTTTGAAAATAAAGCAAAAATGAAGGGTTTGCACAGCTGCCATTTGAAAACACAGCACTTAAAACTGATGCTCAGAGAAGCGGGAAGACCTCTCAGACCTGCCACTTTAAGTAGTTACTTTTAAAGTCTAGGTTTGAGAAATGGAACAAGTGATTTCATGATTGAAAATGCTGAAATATATGGTGTGCTTACATAATTGAACATCAGTCCTTAAAATACGACTTTGAGCATTGGTGGTAACGTTTAGCCGTCTTAAGTCAGTCTTTTGGGGAGGGAGGCTATGCTAGAAGAAGGTGAGCTAAAAATAAAGGTTTCAAACAGAGCCAAAAAGGTTTTTTTACAGTCTAGGAGAACATTAGACAACCATTTATGTGTTGGTGCTTTAAAGAAACCGATACAGTCATCAAAATACAGCTTGACGAGAGGTTTCTTTGCAGTGCCTTGAAGAACCTTAATTTTCTATCAGGGCCTGTCGACTAGCAATACTTTTCTTTTTTTATGTTTATCAACAAAAAAAATTCACAAACACTGTTTTCAGAAACAATATAAGGAAAAATCTCAATTTGACCATGCCTTAACTCTTTACACATTTTTTAACCCATTTAATCCCAGTTTCTAGGTGAGCACATGCATTTTACTTCTTGGATGGAACAAAGAAGAAGAAAAAAGTTATGAAATTATGTGTTTTATTCAGGGTCACAATTGCTATAAATATTGCAGATAGATAGATAGATAGATAGATAGATAGATAGATAGATAGATAGATAGATAGATAGATAGATAGATAGATAGTTGCGCATTAAGTGCTCTCAGGGCCAGTGATGTCATTTCAAAAGTGCTGAGGTAGGAGTCTATCTCAGGCCTGGATACCACACTGAACAAAAACCGGGCTGAACAATGGGTGTCTAGTGCTCAATTGTGTACATACCTTCAACAGATTTGGGCCGTAAGGTTGTGTAGCTAGTTAGCAGGATGTCAGGATAATTGCTGAATTAATTTCTTGGTTGTGTGAGATTCTTCCATGCAAAACTTTTGTATCACTCAGTCTTAGCACTTTTGGCTCTCTGATGTCTCTGCCCACTCTGAAGATGCTTGGTGACAGATGGAGCCGATGCCGGAGGGCCTCTCTGGAAACACAAAATGTTTTTCTTCATTGTTTTTCCTTCTCAATGCAGCATATTTTTTGAAAAACAAAATTTTTTTTTATATGTGATGTACAGATTCCTCTTTGTCTCTCTTGCTCCCTTGAGTCCAACCATAGATCCTTCATCATCAATCAATCAAATTGTCAATCTGTGTGCCTGTGAAGTGATTTATAGTTTGAGTCACAGAATGAGGCCAGATCCATGAGTCATAGCAATCATGCCTCTGTGATCCAGTCTTGACCACTAGTTTGTATTTAAACCAGTTCTGTGATTTTATTCACAGGTGTATGCCATCCTGGTGAGCCATCCACCACAGTCCAATGACCATCTGACGCCCACTCCGGTCTCCTACACTGCGGGGTTCTACCGCATACCTGTAGTAGGGCTCACCACCAGGATGTCCATTTACTCAGACAAGGTAGGGCTGCAATGAGAGATACATTTAAAGGGGTCATATGATGCGATTTCAAGTTTTCATTTCTCTTTGGAGTGTTACAAGCTGATTGTGCATAGATAAAATCCCTGAAGTTGCAAAGAGACTAAAGTCTCAAAACCAGACTAAAGTCTCAAAACCAAACAGATATTCTTTATCAAAGTTAAGACTCTGCCACGCCCCCCTAAAACGGCTCGTTCTAACACGCCCCCTAATATCGACCTCACTATGTGGAAATATTAGCATAATGCCACCCAAATGTTCATGCAAAGAAAGAAGGCGTGGTTTCAGTAACCGCAGTTAGTGTTGAAGCAGCATGTCAGGGAGACGCTGTGTGTTTCTAGAAGAAAGCAAAAGCACTTTATTTGGCCTTCCAGAAAGTAGATGCATTTAGGAATCTTTAAGATGACTTACAACAGAACAGCAATGCATTTTATGGATGACCGTTTCGTGAACCTAGGAGAGGAGGTAATTCTGATTTTGCTATGATAATCTGGCGCTTCTGAATCAGCTACTGTTTTGTTATTAGTTTAAGTATTTGCTATTGACTGTTCAAATGCGGAGTTTTGCGCATCGTGTGAGTGTGCGCGAGCGAGCGAGCGAGAGAGAGTGCAAGAGAGAGAGAGAGAGAGAGAGAGAGGGTCACATCACAGTGGAGTCAGCTGTCTTAACTGTGGCTTGTGTACTGCAAACACATACCAGCTTCATCACTGTGTCTGTCACGCGACTCTGTTCCCCTTTCAGGCTCTGTCTTTACATTTATTCTGAAAGATGAAGCTCGCGATTATGGTAAGGGGTGTTACATTTCCGACGAGTTCTTGCGGTGTTTGGCCAATCACAATGCACTGGTTCAGCTGGCCAATCAGAGCAGACTGTGCTTGTCGGAAGGAGGGACTTTGTAGAAAACGAAGCGTTTGAGAGAGGCAGGGCATAGAGTAATTACAATAATGTACAGTATTTGAAAAATAATGTGTTTTTTGAACATTAAAGCATGTCAACATATTCTGTTACACCAAATACACAAAATAATGATCTTTAAAAAAGCATCATATGACCCCTTTAATTATTCAGTTTCAGTATGAATCATTTTGGGTATTAATGGGTGTTTATTCAACTATGGGGACTTTTGGTCCCTATAGGCTTTTAGAAAAACAATTTCCATCCTATGACTAGTTTAATTGGTCTGTTAACATAAAAATGGCAGAAGTGCAGCTTGATTGGGAAAATAAACTTAAATTAAAAAATATTCTACTCACAAATGATATTTACATATCATTATTTTGTATTAATTGTTGGGATTTTTAGTTACGCTATCTGCAGTTTCAGTTGTTATGCCAGTAGGTCTGAACTGAATTGAAAAAAGTCTGAATTGTGAGATAAAATGATGCAATTACCTTTTTTTTCAAATCCTGTTGTGGAAATGGGCTTCCATATTAATTACCCTTTTATTATTTTACTAAATAAAAGACATTTTTAAAAAGTCATTTTTAAACTTTATGTGTCCCACCTTTCTTTCTTTCTACTCTTCTACCAGTAGACAAAAGAACAATAAAAAAATTATTGTAGTTGAAGAAACACCCTTTATTATTTTACAAAGCTAAAAGGACTGTAATTTAAAAATGTGTCTCTCTTTTCTCTCTACCCTTCTTCCAGAGCATCCATCTCTCATTCCTCCGCACAGTGCCACCCTATTCCCACCAGGCACATGTGTGGTTTGATATGATGCGGGAGTTCCGCTGGAATCACATCATTCTAATCGTTAGTGATGACCATGAAGGCAGAGCGGCACAGAAAAGACTAGAAACTCTTCTGGAGGAGAGAGAGACCAAGGTAAGATATTCCCAGTTCCAGGATTCCCAGTGCGTGCTTGTATACAAGCGTGTGTGTATCAATCGCAAAAGTCTTCTATGTACGTAATGGTTTTACTTTTTTGTTGTGTGATCACATCTCTCATGCCATGTTGTAAATGTTGGCTAACATTATAAAACCAAAGGCGTCAGCCATGTCTAATGTGGTCTGATTTGACGTAACGTGCGTTATTTGCTCATTTCATGTTGCTTTCTACCACAGTCAAAAACTCCTGTGTCAATCCTGCGTCAACAGGAGCAAAATGAAAACCTTAACCTGGGGCGTTGCAAAGCATCAGTGACTTTTTGAACACATTTATGCTGTTTATGCACAATATAAGCTGGTATTTTTGTAGCCTTGAGCCACAGATATGATCCTTGCAATCTTATCGTCAATGTGTCTCATAAGGTGGTTTAGAGCTGTGATTGCTTCATAAATACAGTGGTGCATTGTGGGAATTTTGCTCTTGCAGAGGTTCTGCTGTTTCCTTGGGGATGAAAGCTAAATCACCAGCCCACATCCCCCCTGCTCAGCGCTGAGGTAATTATTGTTGCCCTCATTGCTGCAAGAGATTAATAACAGTGAAACTATTTAGGTATGGTGCGAATTGAGCTACATACCCACAGAGACATTTTTGGTGCTGGAAGACTGTTGAAATCCCAAATAGCTACTTTATTTTCATTTTTCTTCTTCTTTTCACTATTATTTTTTCGACTGGTCACCAATGGCTGTCCTAGCTTACTATGTGTTCTAAGATACGACCAAAGAAAAAAAAACACTTAGTAGAGGTGCACATATATGCATACTTTATCTATTTATCTAGTGATGAAATCACATTTATGCATAAGTATGTGTATATATGTATATAAAAATGATCTGTGGAAAGTGTGAATGGTAGATTTCTGCCACAGCATTTTAAAAAATGCCTTTTGTGCCACTTTATATACAGTATGTATATGTATATATATATATATATATATATATATACAGTACTATGCAAATAGCTCTTAGGTCATTAGCATTTTCACCAACAAAAAATTGTTTTAAGCCAGTTATTTCTATATTTTGCTGTAGTGTGTCAGTAGGAAATCCAATCCAAATTCCAAACATTCCTTTTGCCATTAATTGTAATAATCCAGTGAGATTTTTGTATGCACGAGTCTGACAACAGCCAGTGCTCCACACAGAATCTGATCGCATCATTGTGTCCGTCTGTGATTACATGTAGAAACAGAAAAAAAACTGAAACAGACTAAATTCAACGTCTCCAATAAATTTGAAGAAACCTTCTCACAAAGCTACCTGAAAAACTATGCGCAAGTGTACCTAGGACAAAAGCTGTTTTAAACGCAAAGGATGGTCACACCAAATATTTATTTGATTGAGTTAATAGAAGTTAATTGATAAATAAAATCTATTTATGACATTATTTTTAAAAGAATCCTCAATTCACAGCTCACACCAAATGTTGATTTAATTTCATTAATAGAAGTTAATTGATAAATAAAATCTATTTATGGCATTATTTTTGAAAGCATCCTCACTTTACAGCATTTTTACACAAGTGCCTAAAACTTTTTACAGTACTGTAGCTTTGTAGGTAGGTTTCTTCAAGGGTCTTGGAGACGTTGCCACAGTTCTTCTGGATTTAGTCTCAGTTCTGTCTCAGTTTTTTTCTGATTCTTCATGCCATTCCAGACGGACTGGATGATGGTGAGATCAGAGCTCTGTGTGGAGCATAGGCTGTTGTCATACAGTGGTGCATTGTGGGAATTTTGCTCTTGCAGAGGTTCTGCTGTTTCCTTGGGGATGAAAGCTAAATCACCAGCCCACATCCCCCCTGCTCAGCGCTGAGGTAATTATTGTTGCCCTCATTGCTGCAAGAGATTAATAACAGTGAAACTATTTAGGTATGGTGCGAATTGAGCTACATACCCACAGAGACATTTTTGGTGCTGGAAGACTGTTGAAATCCCAAATAGCTACTTTATTTTCATTTTTCTTCTTCTTTTCACTATTATTTTTTCGACTGGTCACCAATGGCTGTCCTAGCTTACTATGTGTTCTAAGATACGACCAAAGAAAAAAAAACACTTAGTAGAGGTGCACATATATGCATACTTTATCTATTTATCTAGTGATGAAATCACATTTATGCATAAGTATGTGTATATATGTATATAAAAATGATCTGTGGAAAGTGTGAATGGTAGATTTCTGCCACAGCATTTTAAAAAATGCCTTTTGTGCCACTTAAGTGTACCTAGGACAAAAGCTGTTTTAAACGCAAAGGATGGTCACACCAAATATTTATTTGATTGAGTTAATAGAAGTTAATTGATAAATAAAATCTATTTATGACATTATTTTTAAAAGAATCCTCAATTCACAGCATTTTTACACAAGTGCCTAAAACTTTTTACAGTACTGTAGCTTTGTAGGTAGGTTTCTTCAAGGGTCTTGGAGACGTTGCCACAGTTCTTCTGGATTTAGTCTCAGTTCTGTCTCAGTTTTTTTCTGATTCTTCATGCCATTCCAGACGGACTGGATGATGGTGAGATCAGAGCTCTGTGTGGAGCATAGGCTGTTGTCAGTCAAAGATAGAAATAACTGGCTTAAAACCTTTTTTTTTTTTTTTGGTGAAAATACTAATGGCGTAAGACTTTTAAAACATACTTTTTTATATTTGAATGGGATTTAAATGTGTCTCTTTCGTTATTCATGTTCTTAAATGACTTTAAACTTGATTTGCATTTGTCTTTATTCTCTTCTTCTTTATTATGCCCATGTAAAGCACAGATGTGCTAAATAAATACATTTGCCTAGTCTTGCCTAAGCCAGGTTTTTATCACATTTTGTAGCTAAGTCATTAGTAGGAATGAGACATTGCTATTTATCACGCATGAAACACTTTTGCTTTCTGATTTACTGCAGTGTGAAATTAAGTTTAGTTAATGTTTTGTGAAATTAAAATCTAAGTAAATTCACATCAAATTTTTGCTTTGTACATTTCTATCATACTGACAAGCTTTAGTTAGTGGCCACTAACTGTTTGCACAAAACTCTTTATTTACTTTTATGCTTCTGAAAGTGAAAAAAAGGCTTTATTTGGCATATTTATTTATGCACTGTTATTGAAGTTTTAAATTGCCTTCTGAATCACAGAATATAGACCTGGCAGCCATTTTGCACTGCTTGTGTAATATGCATTTTTATCAGGCTCTCTATTTTGTTATTTGAGATTCAACTTCATTTTAGAATTCAAAATTGTGGTACAGCACTTAATCACTGGGACTGTACCCTAAAAGAAACATCTTTATACCTGATACTTCCATTCACCTTTTAGGGAAAAGGCATAAAAGGTGTATATTTGATCCCAGAGACAAGCTAAAGGTAATTTTTCTGATAGTGTACTTTCATCTTGCGTCTGACCATTTCTAATTAATGCTCCTGCTTTCAGGTTTTTTTGGGGGGCAATTTTGTTCCCATTTGTTATCATAATCTTTATTGATAATGTAATTCTCGTAATCTTTATTGAAATTGTAATAACTTGTTCTGAAATGACTGCTATTGCGCTTTTGTCACTTACAGAGCATGAGTTACTGGATAATGTTAAATGATATCCAAATAGTTTTAGCAACACCAATTCACACTTACTGAGAAAATATATAGTCATAGTTATAAAAAAAACAGTGCTTAAATATCACACTATTTTTGCTTGCTATTATATTCTAATGCAGATCAGACTCAGAGACTATTTTTATGCACTATGCGCCAAGGATCGTTTTCATATTCCTTCTACTATCAGTTTACAAGTGTGTCAGGCATAATGAGCTATTTCCAGTGAACGCACAGCGGGGTTCATGGCTGCAGCGTGAGTTCGGTTTAAGAGGTGCTCAGGAAAGGCCAGTGTGTATTCACCTTTTTAATTTCCTTTGAGTTGCCATATGAGCAAATGCCACGGCACGCATATAGGTCACGCATAATTTCAGAATCTTGAAACAAGAATCGCATGAGAGTGTGTCCAGCCTAACGTAGTACTAGGGCAGTGTTGTGTGTCTATGCAGGGGAGGTTTATTTATATCACTGAAAAATGGCACTGTTTGAGCCGGGGGTTTTCCCCCGAGGCCACTGCCCTCAAAAATACAGCAGAACTCAAGATGGTGCTACAGAAAAGGTCTTCTTAATGAGCTTCTGCAATCATACAGCACTAAGCAATATCTGCATTGTTATCGAGCGATTTGTTAGTTTGGTAGCCCGTCACAGTAGTCTGTAATTTTTACCTCAGTAACTTTACATCAATAATTCAGAAAGCGTTCAAGTGCTGCTGCAGGTAGCTGATCTGGATTGATGGAAAAGCACTACTTGTTTCCTTATCGAGCGATTTGTTAGTTTGGTAGCCCGTCACAGTAGTCTGTAATTTTTACCTCAGTAAATCAATAATTCAGAAAGCGTTCAAGTGCTGCTGCAGGTAGCTGATCTGGATTGATGGAAAAGCACTACTTGTTTCATGAAGTTTGTCATGTTGTTAGCTTTGTTTAGGTCTGTGATTTAATGCCAGATGGTCTATGATGTTTTTTTTGCAAGTCCCAGTTTTAGAGATTCAAATTTGGAGCAGAAAAGTGAAAATTTGTTGGTTGCTTTACTGCTCACCATTTTCAACTGTTTATAATATTCTTCTGTGTCTGCATATTTTCTCTGTGCACATTACTCATCAGAATAAAAAAAGGAACTATGAAAACCAAGACCAACTGTCCTATGACAACAAGAGAGGACCTAAGGTATATTTGCATGGTCAGTGCACGCCACCCTCCAAAATCTCTAAACGTAGCTACTAGAACCAGCCCAACCAATCACCGGCCAACTCAGAAATGCCCTTCTCTTGGTAGCACGTGTTTCTTGTTACGTTGAGACGTTACTTTTCCCTTTTTTATGATTTAAATGAAGAATGGATTTCTTTTGAACGATTATTATTTCCGTTTCAGTAAAACATTTAAATGCTGCGCTTCTTTCATTACCATTTTTTCCTTTTTAATAAAGGATGATGCATGATTCAGACTTTTAAAAAAAGCAAGCCCATTCTTTTGTGGAGATCCGATATTTTGGGACACAACACTCAGATTCTACTTCCTATTGCAGCATCCCCTCGTTCTTTTTTCTCGACTCTTTTTCTTTGGGGAAATGACTTCCTCTCACCTGTCACTCCCCTTTCCACCTGGTTTTAGTTTCCGGTTGCATCGGTCTCACTCCCCGAAACCTCTAACATGCACGTCCTTCTCTGAAGCCTTGATAACCCTCAGTTTGCATGCGACAATGCCGAAGTTTTTTTGGTTTCAAGCTTTTTTATTCTTTTATTTTTAATGTTGAAGCAGTTTCCCTGGAACTCTATAAGTTGCCCCCCTTTTCAGTCCTAGAAAAAAAAAATCAAAAACAACCAAACCTACCAAAAGTGCTAAATGAGGCAGCATGGTTCAGTTATGGAAGTAAATAGCCTCTTTAAAGGATTAGTTCACTTCCAGAATAAAAATGTCCTGATAATTTACTCACCTCCATGTCATCCAAGATGTTCATGTCTTTCTTTCTTCAGTCGCAAAGAAATTAACCTTTAGGATTTTTGTCCATATAATGGTCCCCTTTCCACCTGGTTTTAGTTTCCGGTTGCATCGGTCTCACTCCCCGAAACCTCTAACATGCACGTCCTTCTCTGAAGCCTTGATAACCCTCAGTTTGCATGCGACAATGCCGAAGTTTTTTTGGTTTCAAGCTTTTTTATTCTTTTATTTTTAATGTTGAAGCAGTTTCCCTGGAACTCTATAATTTGCCCCCCTTTTCAGTCCTAGAAAAAAAAAATCAAAAACAACCAAACCTACCAAAAGTGCTAAATGAGGCAGCATGGTTCAGTTATTGAAGTAAATAGCCTCTTTAAAGGATTAGTTCACTTCCAGAATAAAAATGTCCTGATAATTTACTCACCTCCATGTCATCCAAGATGTTCATGTCTTTCTTTCTTCAGTCGCAAAGAAATTAACCTTTAGGATTTTTGTCCATATAATGGACTTCAGTGGAGGCCAATGGGTTGAAGGTCCAAATTGCAGTTTCAATGCAGCTTCAAAGGGCTCTACACAATCCCAGCCGACGAGTAAGGGGTCGTATCTAGCGAAACGATTGGTAATTTTCTTTAAAAAAATACTAATTTATATACTTTTTAACCACAAATGCTCGTCTTGCACTAGCTCGACTTCACGCACTACGTAGTCATGTTGGAAAGGTCACACGTGACGTAGGCGGAAGTACCGACCCAGTGTTTACAAAGTGAACGTGCAAAGAAAGTTAAATGCCCTTTACAAAAGAAGGTAAAACAACGATATTGGACGATTTTGAAGTTGGAGAAGAAAATTAGATGGAGTTTTTGGCCCTACCCGACTTTTTTGAACCAGAGTACACAGACGAAGAGCTAACCGCTTGTGACCTTTCCAACGGGATCCAACATCCAACGGCATCGCAGAGCTAGTGCAAGATGTGCATTTGTGGTTAAAAAGTATATACATTTTTCTTTTTTTTTTTAGAAAATTACAGATCGTTTTGCTGGACAAGACCCCTATTCCTCGGCTACGATCGTGAAGAGCCCTTTGAAGCTGCACTGAAACTGCAATTTAAACATTCAACCCATTGACCACCATTTAAGTCCATTATATGAAGAAAAATCCTGGTATATTTTCCTCAAAAACCTTAATTTCTTTGCGACTGAAGACAGAAAGACATGAACATCTTGGATGACATGGGAGTGAGTAAATTGTTAGGAAATGTTTATTCTGGAAGTGAACTAATCCTTTAACTCATTGTGTACCCCAATCTCAGGCCGAGAAAGTGCTTCAATTCAACCAAGAGACTAACTTAACTGCCCTGCTCCTGGAGGCCAAAGAGTTGGAAGCCCGAGTGATCATTCTCTCTGCCAGGTAAGCGGTTTACTCTTGGCAGCCAGCCAAAATCTCTGCACCTCACTCTTCAATATAATTACCTGCAAAATTGAAATGAATCAGAATAAGCCATCAACATATTTATTATTCTTTTCACCCTGCTGAATAGACCACCACAAGTTGTGTTCTTGATGCTTTTGTTTCTTAAAGGAATATTCTAGGTTCAATAGAAGATATGTTAAATCAACAGCATTTGTGGCTTAATGTTGATTACCACAAAGATAAGTTCCACTAGTTCTTCCTTTTCTTAAAAAATAAATAAATAAATAAATAAAAACAGCTACCTTTTCTATGTCAGGTTACATTCAATTTTACAACTTCATAGCAGGCTTGTTATAGTTAAATAAAACTAAAACAAATAAAAAAATTGTTGATTGAAAAAAGAAAGTTGAAATAAAATAAATAAAACATATTGAATGATCAACTAAACAAAACAACAACAAAAAAAATTTTTTGAATTGTTATCTGAAATAAGCCGAAACATTAAATTTACTAGCCAGAAATAAAAAAAGAACTAAAACTAAAAAGAAATAACACTGCTTTGTTGCCAAAATAATTCCTAAAACCCAAAAATGACCATAAAAATAACTTTTTTTTAAATAATTTTTTATAAAATTAGGAGCTCCACATTTCTGCTTTTAAATCATCCAAAAATTGTTCCCATTTACGTCCATTATACTCTACTCTTTTTTTTTTGTGGTAATCAACATATCACAAATGCTGTTGATTGAGCTCAACTTGTACTGAACCTGGAAAATAATTAGCTTAACCAGCAAGACTTGGCAACAACCTTTGCAGTACCTGCTATGCTGGTCCACGAGCAAGACCAGCACAAAACCAGCCCTAACCAGTTGGTCTTTTCAGGCCAGGCCTTAGAATCCTTTGAAGTAAATAATACTGAAAAGTCAAAACAATGGGTTTACAAAACAATTTCATACTTCAGTAAGCTTCTCGTATTTCTGTCAGTGGTTGTAAACCTGTCTATCTGCCTTTAGCGAAGAAGATGCAGCAGCCGTGTACAAAACAGCACGCTTCCTCAACATGACAGGCTCAGGCTATGTATGGCTGGTTGGGGAGCGTGAGATGTCCGGTAAAGCTTTGAGTGAGGCCCCTGACGGTACGTACACCCACCCTAGTACAACTGAGACAGGCAAAGGAAAAGATGCCATTTGTCTCAGTTTTTCTGTTAAACTAGAGAGGTTTTATTGATGAAGCGAGCAGTGGATGTTAGTGTGAGTGTGTGTGTGTGTGTGTATATAAATTAACCATTTAAACATTTAAGCACTTTATGTGTTTAAAGGTTTTAAACGCGTCACAAGATTGCACGATAATGGTTGCGTTCTCTGGTTCACTGGCAAGATTAATTACAGTTGTGAATTCAATGTTGACCCCTAGAGGTTTAATTAAGAAGTTACCATAAAAATTGTATTGTTTTGAAGTAGTTTTTATACTAAAAATGTGTGTTAACTCACAAAGTGTGGTTTTTATCATATTATGTGTATTATACTAATAGTCTGGCTTTCGTGAATTTAAAAAGGGTGTTTTTCAACCCTCCCTTTGACATGTTTCTGGTATTGGTGAGCTATAAATGGCCTTATGTTCCAGGCACTTCACAAGTCACACGTTTTTAAAGTTCACACTATTGTCATCGTCACTCCCAATACACTTGCTGACCTTTTACCCTTCCAGTGTATTTCTTGTCTTTGTCCACACATAAAACACTTGTGGAGTCTTCACAGTAAACTTTTGGAGATCTCTTACAGAACTGGATCTTTCAAACCCAGCTCCAGCAACAACAAAATCTCAGTTGAAGTTGGATTTATGTATGAAGTATACCTTAAATCTGATATATTTCATCAATCAGTGTGTTAGTGTCTCACCAATTGGACAGGACTTACCACAGTTTGGATGTAGGTGGTGCTGGTGGGCTCAGTTCATTAAATCCAACCTAAAGGGTCAAAGCTTGCATTTTGGGCAAAATGTCTCAAATAACATGTTTGTGAAGAAGAAAAACATTCATTTTACATGCTGACTCCGATTGGCTAAACCTACCAGTGGAAAAAATTGACAAAACATGACTTGACATCTCTTGATTTCAGAGTAATTTACCCATGCTGGCTCAAAAGGTGACCCTATGGGGTTTTTTTGTGTTGGAAAGGGCTCCCTAAATGTCAAGGGTGAACAGCTCACTGCTTCATTTTTAACGTCAACACATAGGGCTGATTGGCCTCCAGCTCATCAATGGCAAGAATGAATCGGCGCACATCAGTGATGCTGTTGCTGTTGTAGCCCAGTCCATCCAAGAGCTCTTTGAGAAAGAGAACATCACAGAACCTCCAAGGGGCTGCGTGGGCAATACCAACATCTGGAAGACCGGGCCACTCTTTAAAAGGTCAGTAGTACTAAAAATCATGCATGCAATTTGATTTTGTGTGATTCGTTATTATTTTCTATGACATTGTGCTTGAGGGGGGATTGTGTCATTCTTTGATGGATTTTGACAACCACAGACATATGTTCACAGTGATCTAATGCACTGTCACAACACATGATATTTCATCTATGCATATTTTTCATGCATCACATCCACATACAAAAAGGTCAACAATTACTCATAGGTCAATACTGGCTGTGCTCCACAGGGTATTGATGTCTTCCAAATACCCAGAGGGCCTAACAGGACGCGTTGAGTTCAATGACGACGGTGACAGAAAATACGCTCATTACAGCATTCTCAACTACCAGAAGAGCAGACTGATTCAAGTCGGCATTTACAATGGAACACAAGTACTAGTCTTTTCTTTCAGTGTTTAATTTATAATTTCATGACATGGGTCCTGAATCTTGCATTAGTTCCTGTGAGCCATACAAAAACTAATTTTACAGAAAATATAGAGTTTCAAGCCAACACTAGTATTCCCATAATTGTATTCAAAGCCAACACTGTAATGGCATTTTTGAAATCTAGGCAAATTATTTTAGATTAGAGGACTGAACAAAGATTATGATTATAAGCCTGTTAATTATCTGTTATAATTATCTGCTTCATCAGGTGGTGATGAATAAACAGAGGAAGATCATTTGGCCTGGAGGTGAAACGGAAAGACCAAGAGGATTCCAAATGTCTACTCGATTAAAGGTACATGGTTCACTTCACTTATCCAAAACTTGCTAAAAATGTAGGGTCATGAGCTAGAAAAGATCTGAATGCAATTGATGTCACATAGGAAAGCTGAACAAAATCCCATCCTTCTATTGCAGATAGTGACCATTCATCAGGAACCCTTTGTGTATGTGAAGCCAACTACGTTGGACGGGACCTGCAAGGAAGAGTACACACCTAATGGAGTCTTAATTAAAAAGGTGATCTGCACTGGACCAAATGAGACCATCCCAGGTAACACATCAGGGACGTTTGTCACTGTGCTTTTCTACATTCGCTGTCTGGAAATACATACATACATATATATGCACCAGCAATTTCTACATGTATGAATGTAGCAAGAGTGCAAGTGTGTGGCTGTGAGCATGCGTGTTTGTATTTGTGTTAAATCATGTTTAAAAGACCATTTTTAATGTGTGTGTGTTTTTGTTTTAATGTTGTAAGTATGTGATTATTTTTGCTTAGAGCAAAATGTATGCATGTGCTGGATGTTTGCAAACTTGTGAATGTGTTGCTTGGGCTTCCATCTTAGCCTTCTGCTTTGCATATAGTGACAGCTGTGGGTGTGCCTCGTGTCACAGCCTATATAATCTACAGGTAAAGTGTGAAATATGGAAGGATTGTACTTTTAGATGTTGGTGCTCCCATCTGCCTGTTGAGTTTGTCTGAGATCAGAATAGATGGAAAAGTGCATCCATTCCAAACACAAGAGTTGTGGCTACTTCAATTCAGCCAGTACCATAGATCAATTGAAAATTAATTCACATAGCTTGTTAATATTTTATTCCGTTATCATCTGTAAAAAATCTATGACTGGCTGAGTAGCAGAGCAAAAGCTGAATTTATTGAAATGGAATTGATCAGACCTCAATGCTGTCTAGCGGTTGAGAGCACACACCATCTAAAAGAGAAACACAATCTCTAAATGAGTGAGTCATTTTAACATTGGAGTGAATGGACCGAGGGTGGTGGCTTTCAAAATATCGATATTTCCAGAAGTATCTTTGTCAGATCAAATGAAATTTCACTTTTTCTGGTTTGGTTACAGGACGCCCGATTGTTCCCCAGTGTTGCTACGGATTTTGCATTGACCTTCTGATTAAATTGGCAATGACCATGAACTTCACCTATGAAGTACACCTGGTGGCAGATGGGAAATTTGGAACACAAGAAAGAGTAAGTACACTTTCACTTTGTGTCAAGTATAGGCAAGTTGATAATAAGATTGCCTTCTTCATATCTTTTGGTGATATAGGTAAATAACAGTAACAAGAAGGAATGGAACGGCATGATGGGCGAGCTCCTGGGTGGCCTTGCTGATATGATCGTTGCGCCCTTGACGATCAACAATGAACGAGCCCAGTATATAGAATTCTCCAAGCCTTTTAAATACCAAGGACTGACTATCCTTGTGAAAAAGGTACGATTACACTACTCAAACTATCACATTCTATTTGTAGTTTAATTACAGGTCATCAGTATAGCCCTTTTGAAAAGATCAGCATTGGTAGTCACCACTTGCTGTAGCCTCATGCTGGTACTGAAATGTGCTAAATTTATGTAAGTGACCATGTAATGTGCGTTTCAGGAAATTCCTCGAAGTACACTGGACTCGTTCATGCAGCCATTCCAGAGCACACTGTGGCTACTGGTGGGTCTATCGGTACATGTGGTGGCGGTGATGCTTTACCTACTAGACCGGTTCAGGTACAACAAGACGTTGGGTTGACAGTGTGGCTAGCTGTTCTATGTATGTCCATGGGGTGGCTGTGTGCACATGTTTGTTCATATAGATAGTTTGTTTCACTCATTGGGATCATGTAACACCTTTGTTTCAGGATGTCTCCACAGTATATGAGAGTGCTGAACACATTTCATTATCAGTGTCGCCATGAAGGTGGGGGAGGTTGGGTGGCTGTACTCTGTGAGCCTGTTGTCTTTTCCCTCTCGTTCTGTCTTTTTCTGTATGCTCTCTGTCTCTTTGCCTTGCTTCACGTCTGTTATAGTTCTCTCTATGTTCTCTGCAATCTGGCCAATGCTAAGTGACTTGGGATACTGGAGCATTTATTTGAAGACTACTTATAGGGGTTCTTTGCCTATTCTCTTTCTGATAATTTTCACTGTTTGACCTGGTTTCCCCAGCCCATTTGGAAGGTTTAAAGTAAACAGTGAAGAAGAAGAAGAGGATGCCCTCACCTTATCTTCAGCTATGTGGTTTTCCTGGGGTGTCTTGTTGAACTCTGGAATTGGAGAAGGTGTTGTGAAAGTCAAACTTTGTTTTTATGATCATGTTAAATTAAATACATTTTACTTGATATATGTTTGACCACTACTGTACTTAACACATGTTGTCCAGGTGCCCCACGTAGTTTTTCAGCAAGAATTTTGGGAATGGTGTGGGCTGGCTTTGCTATGATTATAGTAGCATCCTATACTGCCAACCTGGCTGCCTTCCTGGTGTTGGACCGGCCTGAGGAGCGCATCACCGGCATCAATGACCCAAGGGTATGCTTCTCTAAGCACTTGTAGTACCAAAGTAAAGCTTTTCAATATGTATAGAGTGAGTTTGCATTTTTTTCCAGCTAAGGAACCCATCAGACAAGTTCATCTATGCCACAGTGAAGCAAAGTTCGGTGGATATTTACTTCCGGCGACAAGTTGAGCTGAGCACCATGTACCGCCACATGGAGAAGCACAACTACGAAAGCGCCGCTGAAGCCATCCAGGCTGTTCGGGACAAGTGAGTCCCTGCTGGGTAGACACCAGCAGATCTGGCCTCATGGTCAACCAATCAGTCAAGTCAGTCTTGAGGGTTCTGGGCCTGCGGGTCTCAGGTATATAAATCAGTGCCAGCACTTACTGCACTAACCTGCGACCCTGGTCCATAACCCCACACAGGAGAGGCCCAGCTATGTGCCACACATAACATATATTAACAATGAGCTAAAGAACACCTTTTTCAGGTTTTCAGCAAAAACATCATTGAGGGAATCCAATGGGGGACAAAGCTCCACTCGTCTGGCATTGGATTTCATTTGCCTATGAGGTGGCAGTCTAGATTTCTGGTAACACAAGTCGCACAAGAGGGGTGGGTGGGGTCGGGTGCCATGAGTGTGTTGTTTCTCACTGTACTGTTGCACCGTAACCCCCCATCCTTCCCGTCCTCCTCCCTTCCCCCTGCCCCAACAGCAAGCTGCATGCTTTCATCTGGGACTCTGCGGTGCTGGAGTTTGAAGCCTCGCAGAAGTGTGACCTGGTGACCACGGGAGAGCTGTTTTTCCGTTCGGGCTTTGGCATAGGCATGCGCAAGGACAGCCCCTGGAAACAGAATGTGTCCCTGGCTATTCTCAGGTCTGTCCCAGCCGAAGCAGCATATTGTATGCTTCTGAATAGTTTTATGTTGTATAAAAATCTCACCATTGGACACTTACTCATCTCTCTCTATGTATTTCCCCTCTTTCATCCCTGCTCTGTTGTCTGTGTGCTTGATCATATATGTGTTTATGTGCTGGCGGTTGTGGTGACTTTGTGGGATTTATCGGTACTTTCTACCAAAAACAACTTATTAACTTTTGAACTTCTCTTCCTGCTCTCCACCACCCCTTGCAGTTCCCATGAGAATGGCTTCATGGAGGACCTAGATAAAACCTGGGTGAGATACCAGGAGTGTGACTCAAGGAGCAATGCCCCAGCCACACTCACCTTTGAGAATATGGCAGGTATGGTCCATTTCAGGTACAGAGAAACCTAAAAGAGATTGGACAAAAAAGGTACAGTAGGTAAGGTATTGGGGTCTTTTTTGTCCAATGCTTTTAGTTGTCATTTTATGCTCACCTGTGTTGATGTTCACATTTGTAACAAACTCATTAACCTTTAACATCCATCCATTTTGCATGGTTTTCAGCAGTAGGCCCCAAATATATGGGCAATACATTTAGGATTCCATCACACAGGCTCCACCCCCTCCAGCTCCTCAGTGGGTTGATTCGAAGAATATTGTGCCTACGTTAATCGTCTGACAGTTTTATTCATCCCTCTCATTCACAGGTGTCTTCATGCTTGTTGCTGGAGGCATTGCAGCAGGAATCTTCCTCATCTTCATTGAGATTGCATACAAGCGCCATAAAGACGCCCGCAGGAAGCAGATGCAGCTAGCCTTTGCGGCCGTCAACGTTTGGAGGAAGAACCTACAGGTAAGGTAGCTCTCTCCTACAACACAAGAGGTAAAAAGAAAGGTGAACATAAGGGAATGACCTCCCAACAGACTTTTACATATGAACCACTTTTTGTACTGGGCTTTAGTTCCAAAGTTTTTCTTTCCTACCTTTGTTAAAAACAGATGTTTGGTTGCACTGTTTGGTGTGGTGACCAAAGGTGGACGATCACCATTGCGTGTTCTTAGGCTTCTAAAAGGGCCTGGGCTTGTCTAGGCTACTCTGGTTCAATCAGCCTCCTTCTTCTTGTCTGTCCCAACAGGACAATAAGGAGAGCTCAGGGAGTCAAGCTGTGGGTGCGGCTGGGACTCCATCTTTAGTATGTAAAACAAGCTGATCCATCTTGTTGCCACGCCATCCTTGCTACACGAATCAGTATATTTCAAATAGCTGATATGCTTAGTTATTCATCAGAATTATGAAGCTGCTTTCATGGCATGAACCACTTAAATGCTTCAAACCACTTAGCGTATTACAGTTATTTGAAATAGAAATACTTGAAGATGATGTAGGCTGCCAAATTAATGTTTGTGATATAAAAAGGTAATGCTGATTAGGTACTACTAGTATACATCATCAAGCTATGCGAAAGAGAAAAGGAAGCAAGTAAAAAATGTAGATATTAGAAATAGATGTTAGTCCCAGCCTCAAATTTTAATGAGTCTTTGCTTATATCACTTAAAAACAGTATGAGTAATAATATGACATAAACATGTTATAGAAGTAAATATTTCAAAAGCCCAGCACATCCATACTATAGTCTAACACAGTCCAATTGAAATGTCTGCAACAAGCTCTAGCTCAACTGTATGTCCTTTAAGACCAATGTTTTCTAGTGAGAAGTCCTGGGAGGTCTTCCCAGTGGGACTGTGATATTTGGTGAGGGGTGGGCCAGTGGGGTGGGGGCTGGGTAGAAGTACAGTGAGGCTGTGAGAGCCTCAAGCTGCTTCTTTTTTAAAAATGACAAAAGGTCAGAACTGCTGCAATAGAATAAGCAGCAGTAGCAGTGGAAGGTAAGATCACAGTCGCTTGTCTTTGTGAGCAGGTCAATTTACTGTCAATGTCTGTCATCTGCCTCACATGTGTAATTGTCTCTGTATGTATATGCATGTAGGCTCTTATGCAGAAAGGTCCAGCAAACATAAACTAGGATGGACAAAAACACTTTAAATTTGGAGTCTAGAAGACCTATGTCAGATAAAATTGAAGGGTTGATTTAAATATAAATCTATCACAAAACATTAGTTTGTATGGATCATTCACTGTGGCGTTTCATGTTTTTTGTCAGCTCTTCCTTTCTGTATAGGAATTTACACAACTTTTTGATGTTGATATCTTTGCAAGCTTGAGTAAAAATATAAATGTTTGGTACTTCTATATGAATGTCCATATTCAAATACCCCATTTGCACTCGTGTGTACTGCACCTTCATACAGGGAACTGCGTGTAACACACACACTGCACTTCTGAATAACCTGCCCAATTTGCAATTTTGTCCACTGGGCTGTTCCGTTGTCATCTCAAAAACACAGAGATGTCAAAAACATGCTGCCCACATTACAATGTTTAATGGCTGTCTCTTGGAGCAGAGCCCATTCAGAAGTGCACTGCCTTCAGGAAAATGATCAAACAAAAGGGAAACACTGAAAAAAAGGATGATGCAAAACTCAATGAACCGTGAATGTGCTCTCATGAGATACTATGTCAAAGCTTGCAGCCAGTTATGTGTCTCACTCTGCCGGTGGTCTATGTGGGTCCAGCATGCTAAATGCACAGACAGTGCTCTAACCACAGCCAAATAGGACTTGTTAATATTTTTTTCTTTGTGTAAAGCAGGACAAACAAGAGTGTGTTTAGCTAAGTTGTTCTTAGATTGCAAAGACACTGTGGTAAGTCCCAAAGTGGTATATTTTTAATTGGTAGCAGGGGTCACATGATATTCAGAAACTTTTAAAGGACCATAACAAATGATCCTGAGAGTCTTCCATCAGCCAACGTCAACTGTATGCTCGTCCACATTTTGCTTATTTTATCCACACCCTTGCTTCTACTGCCCTCTGCATGAGTCTAAATGAAATTCACACCACATTTAACCCAACTCCCTCACACCCTAGAGTACATTCCTTACTGTATGTGTGGTGTGGATTTCCGTTATACCCTACAAAAAGTATAACGCTCAAAGAGGGTTCTTATAAGTATTCATGTATTGATCAGTATTATTTCATATCCTGTGCTCTTTTGGCATTTTATTGGTTGCTCTACTTCCCTATAAGAGTGTCGTTTTGTTTTGTGATATTACAGACTGCTTGGCTTTGATGTCATTATTTCCTCAGCAAACCCATTTTGCTGCCTTCTGCTTTTGCTTATGGATCTTAAAGTCATATGATCTTTAAAGCAAGTGGATAAATATTCATTTATTTTTCTTTTTTCCTTCCCAATGCAGCCCTCTTCCTCTGTAGAGACTCAGGATGTAAGAATACCTTAATTCGAACTTTTCTTACATAAACACACCCAGTCTTGTGCTATACCTTCGTACCATTTGTAGAGGCCAGAGAGTAGCCATGTGGGGCTGCTTTGTTGGACAGTGGGAGGGTAGGGGGCAAAAGGTCCCAATCTTTTGTGTCTAAAACCACAAAGTGTTAAGAGGAAGAATTTATGAAACAGCACAAAACAGATGCCAAGGAAGATCATTTGAGAATTTGAAAGTGTTGCCACTTCGTGCAACCAAATCTGTTGCATCTGTTACCAATTCTTAGTCTCTTTATGTCAAACAAGTCTGACTTCCATTCATAGTTATAGATCGTTGGGTTTAAGATAGCTTATCAACGGGGAACTAGGGGATGTGGTTTTGGCAGTTGAAAACCAGCCAGAGAACACAAATAATTGTTCTACGTATATTTATTTTAGGATAGGAAAAGTGGTAGAGCAGACAGCGACCCAAAAAAGAAACCCTCTTTTAGGTCCATCAGTACCACCCTGGCCTCCAGCATCAAGAGACGTAGGTCCTCCAAAGACACGGTAAGGAGGTTAAGGAATGGCATCTCTTTTTACTCAGCCGGTCTCTCTTCCTCTTTCTGCGTCTGTCTTTCTCTCGTCCTATTCTTCCGCTCCTCTCTCTGTATCTACTTTCTTCTGTCTTAAATGACATGTCATGTCTGAAACCAAGAGAGCCGCATTTCTCTCTGGTTATTCCTCCATTCCTGGCATCTCGGCCACGGCCACGTGTCTGTCAGTCAGTCATCGAGTCACCATCCAGACCCCATCTGTCAGTTAGGACTTAAGAGATCAGCCATCCTTAAGAGTTAAGTTGAAAGGTTTTAGGACCCAGTGATCAGGGAAAAGTTTCTAACCTAAGAGCTGTTCCAAGAGGAGGGGGCGCTGCACAATGCCTGATGTTTCTGGGCTGCTTCTCTCCCTATTGCAACCTCTGGATGTGGAGTGTGTGTTAGTGCGGGTGGATGTGTGTGCCTCTTTTTGGTGGAATGGGCTGTGTGTATTTGTGTTTCTCGTCCCCAAATCTGCCTGACGTTAGTGATATGAACAGTCAAATCTTGCGATGTCTGTTTCCCTGACGGCATGCTTTGGTGTTGTGATGTTTGATCAGAGCAACCGATACCATTCGGACTAACTTTTTTTTTTTTTTAAACAGCGGGATTCCCTTTCAGACTTTGAAATCATCAATTAACAATGATTTTCTTTTGTACAACTGTTTTGTTTAAGGTCCTAACAAAGTTTATTTCAGGGAATGGGAATTGAAAATGAAAATTCTGTCATCATTTACTCACCCTCATGTTGTACCAAATCTGTATGATTTTAAAAAGAGATAGTGGAATGTCCAAGCTGCTTTTCTCCATTCAATAATAGAAGACAGTGACCAAGGGCTCTTAAGCTCTAAAAAACATAATAAAAGTACCATAAAAGTAGCAATTTATGTGCTATATTCAAAGTCTTATAAATAAGTCATAAAACATGCAAGAACTAATGACGTTTGATATCAATGATGTAAACCTGGCAAGATACATCAAGTTTGAATGTGTGCAGTAAATGAATTAAATTTGAAAGCTATAAAGCTCAAATTTCAATCTAACCCTCCTACAAAATTGTGTGGCTTTAGAAGACTGAATATAGCATTAACAGCAAAATTATTATTATACAAAAATAATCATTATATCATTATTAATATTAATTTATCTTCTTATTATAACAGATAAAATTACTGTGCTGCTATAGTAAAACTTTTCCAGATACAGAGAAAGTTAGTACTTTAAATACAATATACTTGTATTTAGTATAATATAAACAGATCAAGTCTACAAATTTTATAACTGTTGATTTTAATTAACTTTAATATGATTTGCTATGGCACCACAATTTATTAAATAGGACCTAAACAAAATGTTACATTTTCTAACATTTTGTTTAGGAATTATATTACATCTTTTTTTCCTTTTTAAATGTTTAAGAAAACGGGGAGAGTGGGTTGGGGTGGTGAATGGTGAAGAAAAGGCACAACAATCCAGGTGAAAAGAGAAAAACAATAGTAGCCATCCACGGTGTTTAACCATCATTTTATTTCTTGATATCAGTGTCACCTCTCTTTCTATATAAGTGGATGTATATGGATTTATAACTGTCGACGTCCCCCACATGATGTACATGCTACACAGCCTCTCTCTTCCTCTGCAAGCATGCAATATATCTGTCGTAGAAGTAGAGACTGTGTTTTGGTTTCCTTAGTAGAAGTAGTAGCATTTTTTTGTGGTAGTGATGATACACACACTTTTTGTCTCTTTTGCTGATTCACTCTCTCTCACCAGGGGGCACTGTGGGCTTGAAAGTGCCAACAGCAAGCCTTCTAAGTGAACATAACAAGAACTCTCTCATGCTCTCTAAGGGCATTCTTGATGCAACACAGAAAAAAAAGAAAAAGAAAAAGAAAAAAAAGCCTCCCGGTGTCATCAGAAGTATTGCTGAATACATCTATTCTGCAATATGATGATGATGATCTTGGCAATGAGAACTTTTGCCTTAAGCTATGGCTTTTAGAGTTGTTGCATCATATATTGAGCTTATATATTTGCAATGGCATAGTAATAAAAAAAGAGTAAGCTATAAAAGAGGACACATGCTATAATTAGTAAGATAAATATTAAATTCATAATTAATGTTTAGTTGTTAATAAGAAATTTTATTTTGAAATTAAACATCCAAACATTGCATGTGTCTTTGGTTTTTGCAACAAAAAAAATTACTTTTAAAATTTAAAACCATCTGAAACTATTTGCTGCTGCTTTTCCAGCTATGAGCTTCTCCACCCTTCTTCCAGACTCTAGGACCTTGGTTTCCAAATTAAATACAAAACTTGCTCTCATCTGAACAGAGGACTTTGGACCACTGGGCAACAGTCCAGTTCTTTTTCTCCTTAGCCCAGGTAAGACGCCTCTGACGTTGTTTGTGGTTCAGGAGTGGCTTAACAAGAGGAATACGACAACTGTAGCCAAATTCCTTGACACGTCTGTGTGTGGTGGCTCTTGATGCCTTGACCCCAGCCTCAGTCCATTCCTTGTGAAGTTCACTCAAATTCTTGAATCGATTTTGCTGGACAATCCTCATAAGGCTGCGGTTCTCTCGGTTGGTTGTGCATCTTTTTCTTCCACACTTTTTCCTTCCACTCAACTTTCTGTTAACATGCTTGGATACAGCACTCTGTAAACAGTCAGCTTCTTTGGCAATGCATGTTTGTGGCATACCCTCCTTGTGAAGGGTGTCAATGATTGTCTTCTGGACAACTGTCAGATCAGCAGTCTTCCCCATGATTGTGTAGCCTAGTGAACCAAACTAAGAGACCATTTTGAAGGCTCAGGAAACCTTTGCAGGTGTTTTGAGTTGATTATCTGATTGGCATGTCACCATATTCTAATTTGTTGAGATAGTGAATTGGTGGGTTTTTGTTAAATGTGAGCAAAAATCATCACAATTAAAAGAACCAAAGACTTAAATGTGCATTGAATTTATTAAATACACGAGTTTCACAATTTGAGTTGAATTACTGAAATAAATGAACTTTTCCATGACATTCTAATTTATTGAGATGCACCTGTATATAGTCAGTCTTAATTAGCAGATTGCCAAAAAATAGCTTTTTTTTCAGCTTAACCAATAAAGCTCTCTGTGCCTCAATTTCACAGTTTGCCACAGCAAGGAACAGAATTTAAAATAATAATAATGAAATAATCCTGTCAGAACAAAATACTTTGTTTTAATCAAAATGTCCTTGCCGTTGCAACATGGCAAGCCTCACTGAGAGACATTTTATAGCTTACAAAAACTGAAAGCAAAAAAATGTTTTGTTGTGGTAATTGCCTTCTGACTGGGCACCTACATGTCACTGAGTGTTTTGCCAACCCAGCACTGCAGATGCCCATGTGAGAAAACAGCTTGTTGCCCTTCTAACACATCTAAGCTTGAGATGAGGAAACAGGAACTGCAACTAAATGATAATTAAATATATATTACAGATATAAATATGCAGTGGGCCAGAAAGTATTTGAACATTTGAGCCAAGTTTAAAAATGTATTAATGTCATTGCATTAGACAACAAAATATGAAAGCAACTGATATTTGTGTCCATTAACAGACTTTAGGTGAAATACTTTGGTTGTTAGGTTTTAAATTTAAATAAAAACAAATATAATACTGTTCTAAATGAAGATTAAAAAAAAGAATTTCTGGATATCTTCTGGACACTTTCTGGTTGAAAGTTCTGGCTGAAAGTCAAAAATGCAACCAATGCCCATTTGGTAATGTTATGAACCACAACTGTGTTTACTCTGCTAGGGCGCCAGTGCAAATGTAAGGGGATCTGATATCATATATCCACTAGAAACCACACTGAGCCAAGTGGGTTAAAAGCAACTGCAAATATAGCTTGGAAAAA